CTCTTTTCTCATTGACTGCCAAGTTTCGCTTTCATCCATTGAGAAACAAGCCCGTACGAGTGAATGAAAATAGGGCACCGTGAGAAAACGGGTCCGGTAAAACAAGCCCGCAGCGCCTATACGGAAGTCCCCGATTTCGGTCACACTCATCGGCGCTGCGTGGGCCTTGCTATATTTCTTCGAAATCCCTATACTATTCTGCAGCAACAACAAAAAAGAAAAAAAAAACAATAGTTAATGACAGTATGGTTTGCACATTGAGCATGTGACTTTTGGTTGATTTTTAAAAGCACACTTGCTTCCCTTTCGGACAACAAAAACCTTGTGTGTATGAAAATAATTTAAAGAGAATACAGTCGTCTCCCCCCAAGATCCTACCGCTTTCAATCAAGATCCAACTGTTTAGAGAAAACAGAATTTTTCCCACACAAAATTCACCCTTAACCCTTAAGATACCCCTCTGACAACTTATATATATTCAGCCAAGACCCCACATTTCAGATCATAATTTACAGAACAAAAACCCAGGTCGGCACAACTGATCAACCATGAAGTGAAAATTTGTGACCATTGTACTGCCCATTACGTCACAGATTAGCCACTCATGAATGTGATCAGAGCTTTGTGGTAAATAAATCTCCATGAAACAGTACAATGTTTGCCACAGACAGGATCACACCAAGGTGTAAACTTGTCTCAGTGTTTGTTTTCCAAAAATATCATACTCGCACCAAAGCTTTCCACTTAAAACTTACATCACAAGCTGAGATTCACATCAAACTGAACTCATCGGTGCTTCTGTTTTCCTGACCATTGCAGCAGTTGTCTCTACACCTAAATTTGCTAGACAGACTACATTTTAACTGGTGCCATGATACGACAGAGGCGGGGGAATTCCGTCAGAGATGGAAGGCTGTTCATTTTGGACAGGGAAGAGAAATGGGATCCGTGTATATCTTGGGAATCGCGATTGGATAAATGAAAATTGCATGCCTTATACTATTGTGATTGGTCATCAAGGCTGACCACTCTTTGGACACAATAAGTCATAAACCCAACCAGGGTTCACGTCAGTTATATTCAAAGCAAAGGGAGACCATTTCACCAACTGTGGGCCTGACCAAGAGTCAACATGGATTCTCCCCTTGGAGCGTTGGCTAAGATCCAGAGCGCATAAGATCCCACATCTACCTTGCTCCCAAACACTGAGATCTTTGGTGGAGACTACTGTACTACACTTCTATACTTTAAGGTCTCAAAAAGATTTGAAAGTCTAGATCTAGTTTGTAAATCTTCTTTTTTGCGTTCCCCTGCGAAAACTCAAAGGACAGTCAACTGCTGATTCTTCAACTTGCAGTGCAACGGATTTTTACGCATGTAACTGATTTTTATGTATGCGGCAGTTTTTTCTATTTCGTAGACTGAGTATTTTAAGTTTTGATAGGTGTTAATTTTGAATTTGGTCCTGCGGCGGCTGAAGCCAGGACATAAAGGGAGAAAATTTTAGAGAGGTTTCAATTCCGGGATCTTTTGAATAAGAGGTGAACACTACCTCTAGCCCACAAAAGTCCCTATCTTTTAAGTAAAAGTCACTTTCTCAGAGTGAAGAATACCACTGACGGATAATTTTAAAAATTTTAACAACTTGATTGGGTACTTACAATCACCTATTACGCCGTTTACATAAAACCGTCGATAGTGATCTTCACATTGAGACGCTGTTCTTGTTTCAAGGTGGGCCGCTGCTCCATTCCTGCAAATAAAACGAGGGTTTCATACTACAGTCAAACCTGTCCACCACAAACGTAACTGTTGGGGAGAAAAGTGGTCATTTAAAACCTGTTTTCAGTGAGTTAAAAAAGCTGTGGTACTGCTCATCAAACGGTGATCCTCAGAAGCATGAGATTTCTCAAAAACAGTGGTCGGGTCTAATGACAGATCTTTCAAGTGATCCAATCAGAATGGAAGTGCTAAAACATTTTTTTTTCAAAAAGCTTAAACTGATACTTCTTAATCATTACGTACCAGTTCCCAAAACCATATTGTTCCACCGCATCCAGCAGCATATTTTCCTCTGCCAGAGACCATGTTTCTGTATCTTCAAATATGCAGGGTCCTTGATCGTTCTGAAAATGACATTTCAGGGAAAAGAATTATTTAATTAGATATTCTTAGGGCGAGGTCATATTACAAGCGAGAGAGTGGGGCTAGCTGTGCACGAACAAAAACAAATAAGACAGATACATTTCTGTTTGGTTCTGTAATGGAAAATTATACTCTTGAATGGTTTTTTAGTTTTAGTAAGCGTTTTACGGCACTTGCAACACAATATGGTCATATAAGTGCCGAAGATTAGAGGTGTTACAAGAGAGTAACAAACACAAAAAAGAAGGAGGGGAGATAAAGACGATAGACGTTTGATAGGAAAGAAGAAACAAACCAAACCAGAGCATCCGCCAACCACCCACACTCTTGAATGGTTTAACTCATTCGCTACGCCGAGCCGTGGGGGGGGCGGCGCTGCTAAAGTGCCGTCGGTACGCTAAGCCGCCCACGGCAGCTCGGAAACCGATCTTCAATTTTAGCTTAGATTCTATTCCAATCCACATATCCATGTTAAAATAAAGGTCATAATATAATGTTGACTTCCGGGTCAAGCGTTTCCACCGAAAATCGGAAGTTTCGATTCAATTTTGAAACACAATTTCGAAGTTTATGCGACTGTTTTATCGCGATGCTCAAATTATAGCCCAGACCCCAGTCTTTTTACTTTTACACAACAAAATATATCATTATTTTGCACACTAAAGTGTAGAAATGTAGGACTCTTCTTTAGAATATTGATACAATTGGGCTCAAATTGCCATTGCTCTGTTATTGAGAAATCAATATTTTTCAGTGCTAGATCTGGATCTAGATCTAAATTGTCAAATTATTTTTTTCTTTAAAAAATCACTATTTTTTGTGAAATTACACAAAAAATACCACTCAAAACCTGAGTAGGTTTATTCCAAATGCAACTCTGAATAATTCCATATACGATACAAGTGTTCTTTTCTGTTTGTGAATGCATCTTGTGCATTTTTCAAGATTATAAAATTTTTGTTGGTTTTTTTTCAATATCGATGTCATTGATCCAAATGTGCAAATTTTATGGAATGTATAGATTTATATAAATAACTCCAAATTTTTCAATATTTTCCAGTTCTATATTCATTTATGGTTATTTTGATGTATCATTTGACTAGGTGCAAACATATTTTTTTAGTTTCACCGATGACGATTAATTCTTTATTTTCAAATTTTATCCGCATCCAAGCAAAATTGTGTTGCATAATCGTCTCTTACAGGAACCAAAGTATAAAAATGCACAAATAAACATTACAGATGTATTCTACAAATCATACTGAAAATTTCGGTGCATAATATGTTAATTTTTATATGAATTTCTGGCACCAAAGACCTTTGAACGGCGCACTAGTCATAATTTCATTTCGGCTTCCTGAAAAAATTCGTCCACAAGCCGAAAATAATACGTAGCTAATGAGTTAACCAATCAAAATTAAGAAAAAAATAAGCCTAGGCTAGGGTCAAGGCACTCCGTGGGTTCTGTTAGGGATAACATGTTTATGGTGTTTTAAACAAAATCCAATTCTAACATTACAATGACACATTAAACTAGGTAGCATAAACACTGCCTGGCGGCCTTCCGAGCGTGTGGTATTGGTGAAATCGGGATAATTCAGATCTTTCGCTATAAAAGACCAAATGCCTTACACCTTGTAAAAGTTCAGCTTTTCCTGGTTACAATGGTGTAAGTTGATTATATCTCCGATTATTAGGAGCTGGAGAATCGCCGAGGAAAGCAAAGCCCCTCGCTGTCGGAATGCGTGGCCAGCCAGGTAAAAAATTGACAAGTGTGCATTCAAATGCTTCATTGGTGGAAAACTGTAGAGCTTTGAACGTGCTTTCCTGTGGTATATTTTTGGCCTTTGACGTTTAAACAAAAAGCCTTTAAAAATACTGTCAAAGTTTTCAAAGATCATTTTTTACTTTTACATAAAATATGTAAAATACCCACTCAAAAAAGGTACCAATAGAAAGATCAGTTCATTTCCTATTAGAATAAAGCAATCAACATGGAATTATTTAGTATCAATCCCGCAAAACTTGGAAAGCATGGGACCCCCACCCGGGGTACACTACAGAGAGCCGACTCGCTCGCCGTGGGGGGCCGGATCAATGTGTTTTTGTCATAATAACGACAGATCATCGCGTTTGAGGCGATAAAATACTGATTTGTAATGATCTCAGCAGGGTTGAGTTGATTTAAATCAGTTGATTTTTTTTATTTAAATCAACTTGATTTTTAAAATAAAAATCAGTGATTTAAATCACTTATTTTTAAAATTATTTTTATTCAGTTTTTACATATTTAAACATTTAGAATTCCTTTCCTTGGTTTTATTAAACAGATATATATAAGGTTTAGTAGACCAATATCATCATGCTTAAAAGTCTGCTTTCCCCCCTGTCACTGTAAAATTTATTGTAATACAGTTCTCAATTTACTTTTTTTTTCATAATTGAAAACCAGGGTTGGGTTGATTTAAATCAGGTCGACTTAAATCAGTTGATTTTAAAAAAATTTAAATCAACTTTGATTTTAAAAAATAAAACTCAGTGATTTAAATCACTTTTTAAAAAATGTATTATTCTGTTTTTACATCTTTAAACATTCAGAATTCCTTTCCTTGGTTTTATAAAACAGATATAAAGTTTAGTAGACTAAAATAATGCTTAAAAGTCTGCTTTCCCCCCTGTCACTGTAAGTAGTAATATAATACAGTATTCAATTTCCTTTTTTCTTCATAATTGAAATTAGCATTTTCTTTTTCTTTTTAGACAAACACAAGCGCGCGCGCACACACACACACTGTAATAAAATGCAAATTTATCTATGCATTATTACCCCCCTCCCCCCCCCCCTCCTTTTCTACTGACATTTTCTTCATTTTAAATTGTCTGTAGCCATAATTCACTTATATAGCAGTTATAAGGCTTTCTAAAATTGCAGTTGCTTAAATTAATAATTAGTTAAAATAAAGACAATGCATTTTGCACTAAAAGAACATACTTTTAGCCACCAAAAATCCCAAACTGTGTCGACATTTTTTTTAAAATAAAAAAAATCCGATTTAAATCTTTTATTAAAATTTTAAAAATCACCAACCCTGGATCTCAGTCTTGTAAAAAATTAGGCCGTACAGCGAGCGTGCCTGGAAAGGTGTGTTTTCGCCATGAATACCATGGGAGCGTGTTAATCAATGATGAAAATAACGCTCTTTTATAGCTTTCTATTTATAAAGTGTTACGAACACACTGCCAGTCTAGCCGTACTTAGATCTAAGTTTGGCCCTATCAACTCAAGCCTGTTAAGTACACAGGTCTCATTAGATCTAGATCTAGTAATTATTCAAGTTCAAATAATGCAAGTCAGTAAGGCACCTTTTGGTTTTGTCAGAAATACAAATACTTTAGGCATTGCAAACTAAAAAATTTAATTTACAATTCAGCCATCAATATTAAGTACGGCTAGCCTGACAGTCTAGCCGTCCTTAAGTACGGCTAGCCTGGCTGTCTACCCGTACTTAAGTACGACTAGACAAGAAGTCTAGCCGTACTTATCTTAGGCCCTATTAACATTAGAAAACAGGAGGTTTAAAATACATGCACTGTCATTAAGGCACCTGGTTTCGTCTCAAATACAAATACTTTAGGTATTGCACACTAAAAATTTATATTTACAATTCAGTAGGCCTATTTTTTTTAATGGTCAGTCTAGCCATCATATTTAGAATAAGTACGGCTAGACTGGCAGTCTAGCCATACTCAAGTACGGCTAGCCTCTTCCCATGAAAAAACCCCTCTCATAAGCTGATAAGACATTACGAGTAGTTACGCCCATTCAAAAAGCCTTTCTAGACGCTCTTGTTGTTATGAATGATCTGGGCTTCGAAAGGGGATAATATCTATAGGCCAATTTCCAAATGTTTTGCACTCAAATTGTTCTTTTTACCAGCACAATAGTATTCAAAACTATCAAACAAGCTTATTTTTTACGAAGTGACTATTTCTCCGAACGTTCGGGAAAATAAAGTTGAACTTTTTTTATTTAAATCAACTTGATTTTAAAAATAAAACTCAGTGATTTAAATCACTTTTTAAAAATGTATTGTTTTTAGGTCTTTAAACATTCAGAATTCCTTTCCTTGGTTTTATAAAACAGATATAAGGTTTAGTAGACTAATATAATCATGCTTAAAAGTCTGCTTTCCCCCCTGTCACTGTAAGTAGTAAATTAATACAGTATTCAATTTACTTTTTTTTCATAATTGAAATTAGCATTTTCTTTTTCTTTTTAGACAAACACAAGCGCGCACACACACGCGCGCACACTGTAATAAAATACAAGTTTATCTATGCATAATTACCCCCCTCCCCCCTTTCCTTTTAGACTGACATTTTCTTCATTTTTTGTCTGTAGCCATAATTCACGGATAATAGCAGATTAAGGCTTTCTTTCGCAGTTGCTTAAATTAATCATTAGTTAAAACAAAGACAATGCATTCTGCACTAAAAGAACATACTTTTAGCCACCAAAAATCCCAAACTGTGTCAACATTTTTTTTAAATAAAAAAAATATAAAAAATCAGATTTTAATTTTAAAAATCTGATTTAAATTTTAAAAATCGATTTTTTTAATTTTTGTTTAAAAATTTAAAAAATCACCAACCCTGCACGGTAACCGTGTACTTAGTTTCGGGGGGTGGGTGGAAGGGGGCTTGAGCTAGGTGCACGGACGGTAACTGCTTCGCTCCCTTCATGACGTTGACTTTTTTCCTTTTTTTCACCGTGTAGTCTCAATGTCACACACACGGTAACCGGGCACGTAGCCTCAATATCTACGTACACGGTAACCGGTAACCGGGCGCCTCTCATTATCTACATTCTACGAACACGGTAACCGGGTATTTTGTTTCGGGGGAGAGGGGGGGGGCTTGAGCTAGGTGCACGGTAACTGCGTAGCTCCCTTCATGTAAATCAAAAAATGACCCCAATCTA